AGCTGCCCCTACGCCACTATGTCTGAATTTGGTATCCCCACAAAACTCAAACACCTATGTACGCTGACGTTAAGATTTACTAAAAGCTCTGACAAATTCATGAAGAACCTCTCCAAGCCTTTTAATATCAAACGAGGTTTCAGTTAAGATGATTATTTATCGTCTTCGTTATTTTTTGCTGGAGAAAATAATATGAGCTGCAAAGCTGAATGTAGAAGGTACAACTGTGTAGTGGGTTATGATTTCTCAAGATTGTATAAGGAAGCAAAACGTATGGATTTGGTAGTGAACGAGGACAAGACTAAATATCTCCGGTCATCATTTCCCTCGAGTTCGGCAGTCGGCCCCCACGTCACTGTTGATATTCATAATATCGAGGTCGTAGATAATTTCGTATATCAAGGTACCAAGTGTTAACATCAATAACGTCAGCCTTGATATCCAACGCAGAATCCCTCTTGCCAACATGTGTTAGTTTAGACTGATTATTCAACTGAAAAGTAATCATTCCCGTGCTGTTATATGGCGCGGAGACATGGACGATGACAAAATCTGCTGAGTCGGCGTTGGGAGTTTTCGAGAGCTAGGTTTGGTGTGGGATTTATGGAACGGCGAGCTGTACGAGATATATTGGCAGATCATGTAATCTTTGAAAGTTTCCGATAAAGTACCCGTCTGTGGCAGCTAAGGAAAAGAAAGACCTACACTTCGTTTGAAAGACCAGGTGAAGAAGGACCTGCTAATACTTGGTATTTACATTTGCCATAAAATCCGAAAAAGAGAATTTATGCTGCGCTGTTGCTTTCTTGGCGTAAACGACAGGGAATGTCAAACTCTCCGAGTGTATTTCTGTTATGAAATAAATAAAATAAAATAAAGTAAAAAGCTTTTCGTAAAAATCCAGCTACCGTTCGGGGGGGCTTCGAAAAAATTGTAGGTACCTGAATTAGTTGGAAAGACATCAAGTCGGACATCACAATTGGGGGAGGAGCTCGGCAAAAAATCGCTTAAGTGGTTAGAAGGCACCAATCTTACAATTCGCAATTAATTGGCAACCCTAACTTATAAAACAAAGTAGCGACAGCACCCGTTGCAACTAGCGGCTGAGACTCGTTTGTATAGTACACCATTTCGAAAATAAAAACAAGAAATCATTCTATTCTGACTAGAAGATGCATGGGTCGCCTTGGTCCATTACTCTGCCATTTGAGCATTTAAGGACAAAACCATTAATTTTTGATATCACATAAATGAATGCTAGATATTGCGAGAGTAGGTATGTACACAGGCTAGCGTCAATGTTTCGTTTTTCGTGGGACAACACTTGGATGTGGCATGTCTGTATCGCTAATGTATGTACATATACTATGTATGAGGGATGTGTAGTTTTCATACTAAAAATGGGCGCGGTTCGAATATTAACCCCAAAAAAATATATATCTTTTGTAATTTCGGCTACAGACGTTGTTGTGCCTATTTGTTGCTGCTATTTCCCAGTTCCTTGACTTCAATGTTGCATATTTGTAGGCGCTGAAGCCAATTGTGTCGAGTGTCTATGTATAATGATGGTTACGTTTATTTACTAGTTGTGAGCGTATACATACATCAGTTCACAGGTCTATGTGTATACTCGTACATGTATATATGTATATATATATCATCATATGTATTTACGTGTGTAACAGATGTTCTTCACTAAAAATGTTAATACCAAAGCTTTTGCCGGCCTACACGCACACGGTCTGATTGACACTTAACGTAAAAGTTAAACATTCACTAACACACACACACGGACACGCGCATGGATGATGTTTGGGTATGTTGGCTGAGTGGGGGAGAGGTATTAAATCTATCTGCCATTCATGTTGTTTACATCTTTTTGTGTTCGAACTATTAAACACGCCGACAAGGTGTTTTAACACCTGCCATAAATCGTCCGTCATCAATGAATTGGCGTGACGCTCGTTATTCACAAGCTTTCACTTTTGTTAGCACAAACATATATACACACTACATACTCTGCATAGTTATGTTGTTGTTGTTTTCGTTGTTGTTGTTGTAGTACAATATAAAAGGTGATTTTATGATTGCTGACAAGTATTTACGCAATCGATTTATATATGTATGTATATGCCAATAGGCGACTTTGAACTTGTTTCGAGGTGAAGATTTGTCATGTGAGCATATTTGGAGGCTCACACACCAATGTACATACATAAATAAATGTTGTATGCTAGAACTTACATATATTATAAATAATATAAGATCATTTTGTGCGTCTAATATTCTACTGAAATCCAAGTTCTTCAATTGAACTGATGCAATTCTTTATTTTTAGACCAAATAGACGAAAAGTGTGGCAAGTGTAGCCAGAATAAAAAAAAAACTGACAATAAGTGTAATGTGTCCATTATTTTAACTGGATGGCAAGGACAATACACCAAATTTTATTTTTTTTCTCCCTGTGTGTGGAAAATTGGTATTCTCTATTAGGTAAATTTTTTTACTATTTCTTATTCTGCGTTCACTATCACCCAGTAAGTTTTGATACCCGCGAAATATGAGGTAACAAAGGAACAGCTGTACGATTTCGTGTTGTTAATTTGTGAAAAAATAAAAACCAAAATGTATAGACATATTTTAGGTGTGGAATTCATTGAGGATGACCAATAAAGTGCAAGAAGGCGCATGTTAAGAACTTTATGATAAAAAAAATGACTCTGTTAATTTGGAAAATAGCGTCTTCATTCAGCATTTTCGACTGAGCAAAAAAAATTTTCGGCACCATATGCCAATTGGTAATTTTCATATATAATTTTGAAATTGAATATCTTTAGACAGTAGACATCCTTGGCGTTCCATTTGAAGTTTCTCTCAGCAACATATTTCTTTTCCCACGGGTCATATTAGAATACCATTAGGCACAATTACTTAACTTCTCTGAGCCAACATTCTGTTTCCCGAGCACTGCGCTTTATTTCAAATTTCATTGTCAATGATTAAAACCGGGCGAATTTGCTTCCCAACAACAAATGAAATGCAAATACATCTGAATATTATTTCTTTTACTTTACCAACTGACAAATATGTCAAATCTCTCGAAAAATGCAAAGAAAAATTCTTCATTAAGGGTGATTTTTTAAGAACTATAGGGAAGTTTTTTTAAAAAAACACCTAAAATTCAGAAAAATGCATAAAATCTTTATTTGTATCAATAGTACGGTCCATATAATTTAATGTTTAAAGATTATTTCAAGCAAACGTTGACCGTGACTGCGCTTCAAATGGTCCATCCGCTTAGTCCAATTTCGGCACACTCTTTCCAACATTTCGGCCGGTACCTCACGAATAAATGCTTCAATGTTATCCTCCAATGCGTCAATTGAAGCGGGTTTGTCTGTATAGACATTAGACTTAATATAGCCCCATAATGAGACTAATCGCACGAGCTAAGCGGCCAATTGACCGGTCCCGAACGTAAAAGAAAATGTTCACCGAACTAGCTTCTCAATAAGTCCATTGTTACTCGTACTGTATGGCATGTGGCATCGTATTGTTGAAACCACATGTCATGCAATTCAAGCTCTTGCATTTTGTAGGCTATCATCTCACGGTAGCGCTCACCATTCACAGTTACGTTAGGATTATCATCATCTTTGAAGAAGTACGATCCAATGATGTCACCAACCCGTAAACCTGCTCATGGTTGAGTTATAGACCAAAATGAATAGGTTTGACAGTCCTACAAAACAAAACGAAACGTGCGTCAGCTGTTTGAACCAGTGTTGCCAAAAAGGTAATAGCTAAAAAATCACCCTTAATAACTCACAACTAAATATATTTCGATATCTCACACTAAACTTTTGTCAAATCTGCGCCAAGAAATTAAAAAGCTCATGACAACAGGTGAGGTTTAATATATAGAACGGCAGTCGATTTTTGTGCTTGAAAATACGTCTCGTTCTTGAAAACCTTGGTGCCACATCATTTTTGTCAAAGACTCGTCTTTGTTCCAAAAATCGATATCCGTCAATTAAAAGTCGAACTTTGCAACTTGAACTAAATAATTTATTTGGGTATAATGGGATCTGTTGGTTCGTAAATTTAAAAAATGTAAGTTTGTTTCTCCAGAAAATCGTTCCAATATTTAGTCTATATGATACATAATCACAATGTGGAGCAAGTTACAGACTTCACTGACTTGAGGTGTCACAATGGACGCTTAGGTAGCTTTCGTGTTCCAAAAAGGCTAAAACATCTAAGATTTAAACAAAACGTTAGACTAAGGAGTTGAATGACGCATACGTTATCAAATCACACTTTACTTTACGATAACGGCTTAGTTGTATGTAATCCTCACTACTGATTGAAGAATTACAGTATCTACAACTTGAATACACTGACTCTCTTTATTATATAAAAACCTATTTACTGAGAGCTCTAATTGTTTAACGTAATTCCCTCTCTTTTCCCCATACAATTTACATCAGCTGATGAGCAAACCTGTAGCTGTTTAGTGTAAGAGGAGGCAAGTGTTATCGCGTTCATCCGCGATCGGCCTTTTCACTCTTCGTACAAATAAGCGAACATGGCTTTAACACTTTCTAACCCAAAAACCAAAGGTCTCTGGTATTATTGAAAACTTTTCCTTCATTTTCTTGCACAAATTTCGTCAAGTTTTCTTTTTAATTTTTTAATTGCAATCTTTCATCTGCCACCACGTACTTCATGTACTTGTTGTTATGTGGCTTTTTCTTTAATTAAAAATGAATTATGGCAAAAATTGTGCTTAAACGTGGCCACAGAGTGTCGTAAATATTTTGGCAGTTCTCTAAAGAAAAAAGGGCAAAAAGCTTATTTTTTTTTTGTGGCTTCAACCACAATTATGAAAATATCTAATGCGAATAAACTGCTAAATACATACATACAAATGCCTAAGTAAGCCTGTGCTTGTGTGTAACCACAACAACATGAGGAAAACGTAAAGTAAATCTTCTTACCGTAAATCGTCTGCACCACACGGACAGCCATCGTATATCCTTAATCCTTTTGCCCATGGGTAGACGCAGTATGATGTTGGTATTGTTGTGAGCTTGCAGTATTGGCGGATCGCTGCGGGTGGAAAAGCAAAAATATAAAAATGCCAAATGTAGAGAGGAAAATCAGAAAGAAAAATTAAAAATCTCAAATAAATGTGAGAGTAAAATAGATACATATATATATACATATATATGTATAAATAAATGTATGTTTGCATGTATGCATGTGCATAAGTTTGCGTTGGTTAGGGGTGGTGCTGTAGTAATATTTATGTATATATTAGAATATTTTATAGTAATATAGTAAAACGCATTTATAAATATTTTTGTATGTATGTATATTTATTTACAAATACTAAGAGCATACGAGTAGATTTATACGAATATATATATAGATTCAGATTTCACCGAAGGATTTCGCAATACTATGCACTGATACTCGTATACACATACACATATTTATATTTATTTATGACCTTAACTTTTATAGTTATATATGCATAAATTTAATAGAAATAAATACAACAGCTAAATGCTCATACAAATATAGATTCTGTATATACATACATATATATATATTGTAGAAAAACTTTTACTAAGTATTATATGTCTACTGACATTTCAATGATTTGTAATTCTGTATCATAAAATATTTGCTATTGAATAAATTAAGAAATTTTACAGATAAATTTATGAGCACTTACATACGGGTATATATGTACATATTTAAATACATATGTCTGAATGCATTGTTAAAATACTTTAAAATGCTTTAAATGTCCCACGCGATTCTTGCTACTTTCAAAAATACAAAACCATTCAAGGTCACCGGTGAATAGATTTTTACTTTTCTGCGAATGTGACACCTGTGCGCTTCATTCTGTTTCATCTGTTGTAGTTCAATATTGTTACTAAATCGGTTAAATTCCTATTTTGATTAAAATTTTTTTTAAGTTAATTATAAATTTATTTCAACTTAAATTTATTTGATTTGTTATTATATTTTACTTTACTTATAATTTTAAGTTTAATTACATATTTATTTTTATTTTTATTTTTATTTTTATTTTTGTTTTTAATTAAAATTCTTTTTAATTTTAATTTTATTTTTAATTTTAGTTTTGATATTAATATTAATTTTAATTTTTTTTATTTTTCTTTATTTTTTTATTTTTATTTAAAATTAATTTTAAAATAAATTTTAATTTAATTTTTAACTTTTAATTTTTAATTAAAACTTAATTCTATTTTTATTTTCCAGTTTACAATAAATTTTGGTTTTGATTTTAGTTTTGTTGTTTTATATTACTTTGTTTTCAATTTTAATTTTAGTTTTGATTTTAATTTAAAAATTTAATTATTTTTAATTTTGGTTTTAATTTTAATTTAAAACAAATTTAAATTTTAATTTTATTTTAATTTTAACGTTAACTTTATTTTTGATTTCAATTTTAATTTTGATCTTTAATTTTTTTCTTTTTAGTTAACTGTAATTTCAATTTTAACTTTAATTGACTTTCTTTTGATTAATATTATAATATTTTGATTTTATATTCTAATTATCCAAGCATGAATTTTTTCGAAGTAACCACAGAAACTATTGGTCTTTGAAATGGGCGAAAAAAGATTTTATACTACAGGATTGTCGTACCGCTGTGGAGAAACTAAACTGAACTGAAGGGAACTGTATGGAGTACTGTAATGAAAGCAAGTTAATATACAGATAAATAAAAAACCGAGAGACCGAAAGCGTGAGTACGAAATGCCCGAAAATTCAATTGAAGAATAGACAACTGTCAGACAGTTTCAACCTTGCATCTAGGAACGAGAAAATGGATCTAGTGGCTGACGTTCAGACCCCATCTCGATCTCGAAGGCGTAGACTTTTCATCACATTTCTACTCCAAGAGCGATTGCCACTTAAAGAATAACAAAACCTCAAATGGGGAACAAATTGACTTCTCATTTTCGATTATAAGGGCATGTTTGGCGTGACTTGGCCTTGTCTGTGTCATATCATAACTTTGAAAACATAATCAAAAACAAATCAGAAGTATCACTTTCTCCATAGAAGGAAGTGAGCTGCATGGGACTGGTAGAGAATGAGCAGAAAACAGTGCTCAGCATTGCAGCACATTCGCATCTTGGCACCCTTTTCGCTGTCACCAGTCATAACTTCAGGACGTAAATAATTTCTTCTTTCGAGGGGCCAGCGTTAACACCAATAAGAAATCGTACGAAGAGTTTCCTTCGCCAACAGGTACTACTTTGGACTGAGTAGAAAATAGAAATGTAATCTTCTCTCTCGACGAACAAATTCTGAACTTTAGAACTTATCCGTCCTACTGTTAATTGGATGAGTGACAGCGTGTACCACAGGTTATATAACGGTAAGCCGTATGAGATATATTACGATATTGACATTGAATCAAGAGACACTTCAGCCCTGAAAGTACTAGTATAGTACAGTATTCGCTAGTGGAAGGAAAGTAAGAGAAAGGATCAGATGGAGAAGAACCTAGCCCCACTTTCCTTCCCCAATTGATGCCGATTGGCTAAAAAAATAAAATACTGTTAGCCTGATGCCTACGCCAGTCAAAATGTTAGTCAATTTAGTTTGTTTGAAAAAGGAAAATTTTGTAATGTATATATATGCATGTATGTATGTAAATAAGTAGTTAGCAGGTACATACAAGTATGACACAATATGTGATTTTTTTTTACTTGTTGACCTTTTTACATTATATCTATGATCTTTTTGAAATACATATATTTTCATTATATAGTGATACATATTGCATACATACATTTTCTACGGTCATTAGCCAAACTATGTTATGTAGTTGGTATTGTACTAGATAAAAACAGTTTATATTTATATAATGTAGGTTAAGAATTTCTTAATCCTTCAGTTGTTCGCAAGTAGATATTTTTGTACATACACACGCAATGTATGAAGGCATTATATGTATGTATATATAATATATGCCCTTATGTAAAGTACTTTGTGACAAGGCTTAGACCATTAGAAGTGACCTCAACTGCTTAAGAGAGAATTGTCACAATGAACAAATATATTTATATACATGTGTGTGTATGTCTATGTTTATGTATATACATACATACATGTGTGTAAATGTCAATTTCACTAATTGGACAAAATTATTGAAACAATTCAAACAAGTTGCAGTCAAGAAAGGCAAATCCTTGACCGTCCAAAAGTGTGTATAAAAAAGGGACCTACGACCCCATATGGTGCATTGGCTTTACACAAGTGTAGTTAGACCCATACTAACATAAGGAGCGCTAGTATGATTTGAGACATTTAAGACAAAATGTATGTACACGATGAGGACCAGAAGTCATCCTTGACAGCAGGCCAATAACATACAAATGGAGTATGAAGCAGCGCTAATGGTTAGCCGTCCAAAAGAGTCCTTCTTTGTGACCCCACCAGTAACCAAAGCACCTTCATACTCAATGACTACAACTCTGTATCCTAAGCAGAGATTTCTAGCAATATGCACACTCGATTGAAAGGAGAAAATCTTGTCTGGTGGACAGTCGAGCGGCGATTAAGCCAATTAATTGCATCCAAAGGCGTTAGAATACGCAGAGAGGCAATTAAAGGTCATTACCGGAAAACAGAGTGTACATATTTATTACTTGGGCTCCATGTCACGCATGTAGAAGACAAAGAAAAGGCGGACGAGCTGTCAGAATATACCGCCCTTGATCGCAGTCAAATGTTGTTTAATACAGGGAACCTTAGAGGAACGCTTACTTCAACGTAGAACGTATCACTACAATTTTGTGAGCTAGCGTAAATTTCAGTCCAAACTGTTGTTTGCATTACGCAAAAGAGATCTTAGCATTCTCCCAAGCTAGGTAAAGTGAAATCAGCTGAGTCTAGAGCATGCAAAGGGAATAACGCTGGAGCACAACCTTTGCGATTGTCCGACCTTCAGTCGATTTATACGTCACATCTTCTACGATGCTCCCAGCCCCAACCTATCGAAGATGGGCACGCGTGATTGGAAGAAACTTAAACAATTTATAAAATCGAGCGAACTTTTCGCAACCTCCCTTTTCCAATCAACCAACCAACCATCGTTTTTTTAATTAAGCCAAAACTTTTTACCACTTTAGGGCAGAGTTTATTTAAAATAGTTTGAGTGCATCCTTGACATGAAAATAAAAAGCTTCACATTCAAATTTATCAATTACACATAATCTAAAAATAAATATCCTCTCTTTGTATAATAAAAATATGTATTAATACAAGGGATTATAACTAATCGACAACAGGGGTATCTACGAAAAGCTCTCTAAGCAATGGTGGAAATTTTTTTTAATTGCTTAAATTTTTTAATTCTCTTACTTTTTTCTTTTAGTTATTTTCTAGAATATTCTTTATATTTTTTTTTTTTAATTTATAAATTTAATAATTTTAAAAATCAATCCACTACATTTTCTCTTCTGATTTCCCAGCGGACCAACTGACACAATGAAGCAACCATCCGATGACTGACTTTTGAAATATGCAATTGTGATTCATTTCATGAATGGATTTTCAACCAAAACTCATACATATATACGGGTATGTACACTTGTGCATAACTTCACGCATTCAATTACAAGCACGCAAACTCTGAGCGCTAAACACATATGTATGTGCATACATACGAGTACACGTATGTGCGTAAGCAGAAAGGAGAATGTAGGCTTTGCATGATCTCCCGAGGTCAGGTGATTTGATGAATGGTTAATGCAGCAGATGATTGAACTTACGAGAGCATGTGTATTTCGATATGTAAGTATGTAAACGCCAATCTATCAATTTTTAGCTTCGAATGAAGGATGTAAATGTCTCTTACTGTGCAATTGCATGTGGCTTGAACTTGGATTTGGAATCTCGTTTGCAAATAAGTGCCGAAGTAAGTTCCCAAGTAATTGGAAAATAAACCCATAAGGACCATTTGAAAGGGCATCTGTGTGTGTTTCGCGTATCTCAGTTAGATACTGCTCCGAAACTCAAAAAAAAGTTTCATGCGAATGAGCTGTGATAATTGC